AGAACCGAGGCGCTGGTGTGTGAGCTTCGGTAGCGCAGTTGGTAGCGGTCTTGCTTCTCATGTAAGGGGTCGCGGGTTCGGTCCCCTACGGGGTTTGGTGTTTTGCTTTTTTTCCAACATGGCTGAAAAGCCTTTTTGAATCCGTTATTTTATCAACGGTCGCCCGACGCTACATCTACGAAGAGTTTGCAAGCAGATCCTCTTAAGTTTAAGCACTACTTGTCTGTGAGTGCCCATGGTGCCCGTAGTGCAGGTGCTATGCTTTTCCGTGGCAAGTAGGTACGATATTCGTATTCAGGGGATCAAACTACCTCTAGGAAATAATGCTTTGCAGATCTTTGGATGATGCAGACGGGCAAGCCAGACACAATTTTTGTCTATTATGAAAAGTGTTTGAAAGGTTTATTCTACCCAAGTGCCAGCCTTTTGTAATGGATTGGTGGATCGGTGAGTAAGTGACTGCCCAAATTTTCGAGGTTAGGTCAAAATTTCAGAATTCGCTAGAAGTTTGCTCAAAGGGAGAGTCTGGCTCCCTGATTACGAATATCATACTTGTTCGAAGCAAAAATGCCTGGCGCCCAAAGTAGTGAGGAGCGATGCCGCCCAAGTTCGTTATTAATTGCCCTTAAATTCTTTGTACTTTTAACTATACGCAAGCATGTTGGACTAGCGATGTTAGGAATCTTCCTAGCTATCTTACTGCAAACGGCAAAAGAACAAACTCGCCAGGGAGTCGATCCCCTGACCTCTTTTTCGTGAGCCTCGACCACAGCCCCTGCGCTTTTCTGCTTCATAATTCCTTTCAGAGAAGAGTTCAGCAGATAAGGAACACATATTTGAGCTCAGCGTCCCAAGGCGCGTATACACATATACATCTCATTTCAAATGGCCGGGTTGACCAAATGACCTTTCCTGGTTAGATTTATCACTGCTCTGTCAGTGCGCACAACATCCTTTTGATGAAATTGATGAGAAATACGAGTATTGTAAAGTAGAGAGAAATTCTTCGAAATAAGTATTTGAAGTGTTTTTGACACAGAGGAACCTACTTCGTCTTTGTATGAGGTCACGTCCTCATTTTCAGTGGGACCAGTCTCGCTTTTAACTCTTGAGAACATGATTCCGCTGAAATCAGGCGCTCACATAATCCTTCTACATGATTCTTCTATATATAATTCGCTAGGTCTCTATGCTCATGTGTCTGTCTTTGTGTGTTTTCTCACAAAATTCATCGTGATGTAAGGGATGAGACGGGAGATATTTGTGTGACAGAAGATGATGACAGTCGATAAAGGCTGAGAAAGGGCATTAGAACGCAACTCGCGCAAATGCATAGTGCGCGGCCGGCCCACAGCAATTGAGGCGCTTTATTCAAAATGATGTTTAGGGGAGGACAATATCTTTGGTGGGGACAAAGAGTGATAACAACTGATAAGGGGTGGGAAGAGGCGTCAGAACACAAATTTCACTAAAGTCATCGAGCGTGGGGTGAAGAATGACGGGACAGGAGGAGGGACGCTAGGGCGCAAGCGCCACCAGTTCCATTAACAACATCATTCGACCGTAACCTGCCCGAACTTCTTTTAGAAGGTTGACGTTGTGGAAACAGGATAATTGGGTGTTTATTTCAATGTCAGAACTTATGCAATCGCTAAGGATGCGGAGCTTTGGCGATTAGTGTGATGGGTAATAGTGTGAAATCCACAAGTAAGGGCTGATGGCAAGATGAGCAAGATCCCATGTTCAAGCTTATTCGGCCGCCAACTATATCAGTTTCCGATTTAATGATGGGGATTTATTGGTGAATGACAACGGCTTCTTTATCAATCGGAATATGTTAAATGTACTCGCCCCCTAGCAGAACTAGAAAGCCTGCAACACCCACTACCACATAGTCTACCTTAACTGCGCGTGGTAGCGAGCGGAGGT